TAAAAAGGATAAAAAAGAAAACGATATTTCGATAGGACCTACGTGCTTTTAATATATTATAGATAGATATAGATATAGATAATTAAGTTTCTCCGTTTACTAGTGTAAACAAGTATTAATCCTTGATTGATAAATGCCAATCAAGTCGTTTGATGCCATCACCAAAATCAACAGTAAATGCGACAACAAGACAGCTTGTGATGTATTATAACGTTAGTGTCATGTCTCTCCTATTTAAAGACAACCTCATTTGCTCTCCTATAACTAGCCGTTACAAACTTACATATTCAAACTTACAGATTTACTCTTGTCACCTCTCTCTCCCTCTCTCTCTCCAATTTCACTTTCTTTCTCTCTCCAAATCCATAAAGCTCAAATGGCAATCTCAGTAGAATCTTCATCTCCTGCTTCACTTAACAAGGTTCTTGATTCTCCTCTTTCAAACACAACATTAAAGACTGCAACTTTAGATTCTTTTTTTTTTGGTACTATTCTTTTGTGCTGTTAATTTTCAGTATAATAAATTACCCAAAATACTCAAATTTTTTCACTATTTAATTTTCAGGGTTCACCAAGCTTGATGGGTTCTTCACCAATTTACAGTCCATCTTCAGATAAACGTTTTTGGAGTACTCTTCGCAGTAGGGTTGATACTCTTCTTGAAAATCGAACCCCTGTTGATTTTCCCTTCCCTGCTCAAAAGGTAAATTTAAGTAATATACATTAACAGTGTAAAGGATTTTGTATACTACCACTGAATTTTAACAGGTTAGTTGCCTAGGAAATGACATGATTGTGTAAATATTTTTTACATCGTTAATGCATAGAATTTAAATTTTTTTTTGAAAGAAAAAAAACTTTTTTTTGTGTTTTATTTTATAATTGGTAAATGTTTATTTTTTTTTTTTTTGTGTCTTAATTTTTGTTTAATTTTGTTTGAAAATTGCTTGTTGTAGAGTGATGGAGCAGCAGAGGATAAATCAAAGAGAATGAAGGAGGATGCTATGCTTTTACTAAGAGGATTTGATTCTGTTTCTTACACTCTTTCAGAGTTATCTAACAATCTTGAAAATGCCCTTCAGGTATATATATATCCCTTGTTTTAATCTATGATTATAGGTTATATATAGGGTTAATTGTGTGTGATTTTCAAAAGGCTTTTTGTGTTAAGGAATGCTATATGATTTGTTGAAAAGAAGTTTGGTTTGTAAAATTGAGGTTTTTACTGAAGTTGCTCATGAATACTGTTAAGCAATGTAACTTTTGACGCATAACAGTTTGGCAATATTTTGTTGAAGTTGAAAAATGGCGTATTTGAAGTTGAAAAAGAGTAATGCACCTCATAATATAGTTGAAAAAGAGTATTTAGAAGTTGAAATTGTGTTTGCACGTATATATAGTTTGGGAGCCTAAAAGTAAAGATCGAATTATTTATCAAGCATCCTATATATTTTTCCTATCTAGGGAGCAAGAGATCTAGCAAAACCACCCACATTGACAGATATACTTCATTGCACAATGGAGAGGGCAAAAAGTGGAGAAAACCAGAGGGCAAAAAGTGGAGAAAACCAATCAAAGGAAGGTAAAGATGAGGGAGATAAAGAAAAGAAAGAGACTGAAGAAGGCAACAAAGGATTGAAGAGGAAATTGGATGATTGCTCAGAGGATTCACAACAAGATGATGATACCAAAAAAGAAAATGGGCAAGTCACAAAAGAGCTGGGAAAGTTCAAGAAAGCCAAAAATGTTTGTACCCCTTCATTCCTTTTTCTTGTGTTTTATTGCTTGTTTCTACTGTTTCTTTCCTTCCTTCCTAAGCCGAGAGTCTATCGGAAATAACCTCTCTACCCCTTCCAAGGTAGAGGTAAGGCCTGCATACACACTACCCTCCCCAGACCCCACTTGTGAGATTTTACTAGGTTGTTGTTGTTGTTGTTGTTGTTGTTATTTCTCCAAGAATGGTTCTAGTTACTTTTGCTGCATTTGTGTTTGCCGACCTCAACTTGTTTGGGATTGAGGCATAGTTGTTGTTGTTGTTGCATTTGTGTTTAAATGCTAACTTGACATAATCTCTGTGTAGCTTGCAGTTTCCATGGCATCAAAAGCGGCCACATTAGCTCGAGAATTGAAATCAATAAGATCAGACTTACGCTTTATGCAAGAACGTTCTGCTCTTTTGGAGGAGGAGAATAGAAGACTTCGCGATGGCTTTGACAAAGGGATACCACCAGAAGAAGATGACCTGGTAATGACACTTGGCATCCTCACTCTAAGTTATATAAACTGACAGTATATTAATATATCATGTGATAGACATCATTGAGAGTGATATTACTTGAATCGTGACTCTCAAAATTGTTTATAACTTTCTGTGACACTCAAATTGTTTACTTTGTGAACCATGATATAGATTTGAATTATATAAACTGATAGTATCATATGATAAATTTAAATTATCACATAGAGTGATACTACTTAAACCGTGACCCTCAAATTTTGTACTACTTGAATCATGATATAGATTTACTTTGTATAAATTGACACTATAATGTATCAATATGGTAGATAATATTGAGCGATACTACTTCAATCGTGACACTCAAATTGTTTACTCTACTTGAACCGTGACACTCAAATTGCTTAATACGTGAACCATGACGCAATGTAGAATATAGTTATGTTATATAAACTGACAGTATCATATGGTAGACAATATTGAGTGATACTACTTGAATCGTGACACTCAAATTGTTTACTCTACTTGAATCGTGACACTCAAATTGTTTACTACGTGAACCATGATGCAATGTAGAATAGATTTATGTTATATAAACTGACAGTATCATATGGTAGACAATGTAGAGTGATACTACTTGAACCGTGACACTCAAAACTACTTCAACCGTGCCACTCAAATTGTTTACTACGTGAACCATGAGATATTGTAGAATAGATTTAAGCTATATAAACTGATAGTTTCGAATGGTAGATAATCATGGAGTGACGCTCTACTTGAACTGTGGCACTTAAATTTTATACTCGTTGAACAGTGACACTCAAATTGTTTACTACTTGAACCGTGACAGAGTGTAAAACAGATTGAACAGTATATGCATTCCACACTAGACAAGATTGAGCTATAACAATGGTCATGATCAACCTTAGATAGATTAAATTTCATGTTCTATCATTTGAATTGTGACTCAAAATAGATATCTGTAAAATGTCTGCATTTAACCAACTCTTTTTATCTTTTGAACTTGCTTAGGTGAGGCTTCAAATGGAGGCACTTCTTACTGAAAAATCAAGGCTTGCAAATGAAAATGCAAACTTGAATAGGGAGAATCAATGCCTTAGACATCTTGTTGAGTACCACCAGTTGACCTCACAAGATCTCTCTGCATCCTATGAAGATTTACTAAGAGGAATGGGTTTGGACATTTCTCCAGAGGAGGATACCGAGACAAATGGCGGATCCGAGGCACGAGAGAAAGATATATATGGTATTTCCAAATCACTAGATGAGATCTATGATGAAGAATGAAGAAACAATGATAGTATAAACCTGTTTTTTTAATCAATGTAGTAATCTGCCTATATCGCGAATATTGTAAAATTTTGTAGTCTATATTGCAAGTTGTTTTCTATAATGAAAGATAACAATTATGTTGTTTTCATCCTCCAATCTTCATCCGAACAACACCTCCAATCATCAAGTAAAGCTTGATTCAAGTTGTACTCCTCTTAGAGTAGAAGCATCGACGCAGAGGCAGATGCAGCCATATTGAATGGGTTCAACTGAACCTCTAGCATTTTCGACACTGATCTTAGAGATATGTGTGAAAAAATCATTATATCTGAACCCATAATATCAAAAGTACATTGTATAGTGGTAAGCTGAATCCATTGTATAGTGGGAAACTGAATCCATCAGGTTTAAATTCTAGATCTACATCTGTTTAGATGATAGTTGGTTGTCCTTACAATAAATAATCACTACATCTCAACCTCAACCCTTCAAAATTCCAAGATGAAGAATATGAAAGGCTCAAATTAAAGGTAAAAATGGACCAGGACAAGGAGACTAGAGAGGACTTACATTGTAGAGAAAACTTGTTATAATTCTTGAAAATGGATAAATTATGAGAGTTGGACCATGAATTTTTTAGACTGTATGCACCGCAAAGGGCAGTCCTTCACGCAGGGTCTATGAAACGGCCGCACCCTAAGGATGTGATGTGGACAGCCTACCCTGATGCAAATATCAGTAGCTGATTTTACGACTTGAACCGGTAACCTATCAGGTCACACGGGAGCGGAGAATAATTAAAGATTGGGCAAGTCGTCTATAGTGGATTCCTAAAATGTTTGTATATATTTCTCATTTCATTGATACTCTTATGGAGTTGCAAATAGGTTGCAATCTCTAACCTGCTGGGTTGTTTTCTCTTTCACAAGTGCCAATGTTGTTCCACCGGAAGTGGTTTAGAAAAGAAGCTAAAGTTAACATTTTCACGTTTAAGAACTAAAATTGCGCACTTTATATAACGCAGAATTAGACTATAATGCAGGGACTAAAATCAATATTTTTTTAATAATATAGATATAATTAGCAAGATAAGCCAAAACAATGAAGTACTTAAATATTATTTTCTTCTTTCTTTTTCCTCTGCAATCATTTTATAAGATCACAAATGTATGTTTGTAAACAAGATTCAATAAAAATTTTGGAATTATTTTTTTTAAAAAAGTGAGTCAAGCCAAGGTATGATATGTTCATGGCATCCCATTATATCAAGACCTTAGTGGAACAGCATTAACCAAAAAATAGGAAAATCTCAGATGTGTTTGGATTATTTTAAGCATTCAAATGATCAAGTCACCTTCTTAATTAGGTTATATAAACTCCTAGTTACTCCATTCTCAAATACACAAGAAAAAGAAAGAAAAAAAAAATATCATCTAGCCTTAAAATCCAAATCTTCTCAACGGGAAGCCAAATGAAGAAACAAATGCCTCAATTTGTTAGTGCTTTGGCATTTTTCTTGATTGCAACCTGCACTATGGCATATTCACCATATCCTTATAAACCACCATTGTCACAAGACAATTACAAAGTGCCAGAATTCTCCAAGAATCAATACAAGGTACCTTCAATATCTAAACATGAATACAAGGTGCCATCTAGTTCACCAAAGAATAACTATTACGAGAGGCCATCAGTTCCAAAAAATAACTATAACAAGGTGCCACATGTTCTAAAAGATAACTATTATAAAGCACCCTCAGCGCCTAAACATGTATACAAGGCGTCATCTTTGCCAAAGAATGACTACTACAAGAAGCCATCTGTTCTAGAATATAACTACAAGAAGGTGCCATTTGTTCCAAAAGATAACTACTACAAGGTACCTTCAATGCCTAAACAGGAATACAAAGCACCATCTTTGCCAAAGAATGAATACTACAAAAAGCCATCAGTTCCAACAAATACCTACAAGAAGGTGCCATCTCTTCCAAAAGATAACTATTACAAGACACCCTCAACACCTGAACAGGAATACAAGGTGCCATCAGTTCCAAAGAATAACTACAAGGTGCCATTTGTACCTGAATACAAGGTGCCATCAGTTCCAAAGAATAACTACAAGGTGCCATTTGTACCTGAATACAAGGTGCCATCTTTACCAAAGAATGACTACTACAAAAAGCCATTCGTTCCAAAAGATAACTACAAAAAGGTGCCATCTCTTCCAAAAGGTAACTATTACAAGACACCCTCAACACCTGAACAGGAATACAAGGTGCCATCTTTACCAAAGAATGACTACTACAAAAAGCCATTCGTTCCAAAAGATAACTACAAAAAGGTGCCATCTCTTTCAAAAAATAACTACTACAAAATACCCTCAATGCCTGAACATGAATACAAGGTGCGCTCTTTGCCTCAGAATGATTATTACAAAAAACTATCAGCTTCTCCTCCACCACCTTACTACTATAGTTCACCCCCTTCTCCTTCCCCATCACCACCACGCCCTTACTATTATCAATCAACTTCAACTCCTTCTCCATCACCACCTCCTCCATATTATTAAATTTTTTTCCTTTCATACTCAATATATATAACCAAAGGGTTCCTATATTGTGAGTTGAAGCCTAGCTGATATCAAAATTTGTAATTCTTAATTTGTTGTTTTAATTTATATTTTCCTTCTTCGGGTTGCAGGTGTTTTGTCATTTCAATTGTATTTTGAATGTTTCCAGAGAGTATTATTTCAATTGAATATATAAAAGTTCTTTTCATTGAGAATGATGTATTTTCATGATTTCATCTATTCTTCCACCAATCACCATTTCTTCACATAAATTTAATAGTAAAAACAGTGGAACATGACTACCATCAGAAACTTCAAAGTAGTCTAGGGGGCTGTATTAGTGTAGTGGTAAGGTTCAACCTTTAAGAATATTTATGTTATTTAGTTTGCACCAGAATTAACCATGAGTTTTGCTAATTTACTACGTGACAATAGTAGATTAGCATTATTCATTATTCGAGTTGTTGACTATTGAGATTTTGATGATTACCAAAGTTTGTTTAAGATGAAATGTTCTAAGAACTAGGTCCTCAACGTAGCTGCTAAATTTCCCAAAGAACCAGCTCCTCAGGGTTAAGGATCAATTCCTCAAGGATGATGATTGTGCGTCTTTGCAAGACAATGACTTTATCTCAAAGTTACCAGGTCCGAGTTTGGTAGAAAAAGATTGCTAAATATGATAAGGGTTGTTGCACAAGAAGATACGCATGCATAAGTGAGAGACAAGAGTCCCAAGATTTGTGGAGTCCTTTGAACAGTAGGAGTCCTATCAAACGAGAAGCTGATTATGTATAGGACTCCTATAGAAGATCTTGGAGTCCAGGCATTTAAATACTATCCGTCTGGACTGCTGAGATCATCCTTTTGCACATCAACTGAAGAACTACATTTTACACACTCTAGTCGAGTACCAATGTTGTATTATTCTTGAGTCAATCTAGTGAATGTATTTTAGGAAATCGAGTTGTAATCAAAGTGTCACAAACAATTAGTGAGTTGGAGTGAGTGTTTGCTTTATAAGTTAGAGTAACATGTAAATCAAATAGTTGTAGTAGGAGTACTGGAGAGTATTGAGTTACAGTTTTGTAATTGATACATTTGGCTCATTGTTCTAGTGAAGTTAAAGTTGAAAATCCTACGCAGTAGGTCATAATTTTTGTACCTTTTGAACCAGGTGATTTTTCATGTAAAAATTACTATTTTTATTTTACTGCTTATTTTACTTTACATTTAAGGAGTAAGGTAAAAAATCAAGTTTTTTAGTAATTTATAAAGGCACGAAAACTAACAATTGATATCAGAGTACGTTCTCACATACGGCTAACACCTAGAGAGATCCTAGAAGCAAAATGAGTGCTCCACCCAAAATTAATGAAGGACAATCAACTACCAGATCACCCCCGTTCAATGAAAAATATTACAGTTGGTGTAAAGCAAGAATAAAATATTTCCTGACAGCTGAAGACTATGAACTATAGGCCATAGTGAACCAAGGTCCATTAACTCCTACTAAACAAAATGTACAAAATAAAACAGTTCCTAAGAACCTCTCTGAATTTGTGGCAGCAGATTTCAGAATGATAGAGAAGAATGCGAAGATTAAGAAAATCCTTATCTATGGACTTGGTCCTGATGAGTACAATAGAATATCGGCTTGATCCAATGCAAAGTAGATCTGGGATGCACTTCAAACTGCTCATGAAGGAACAAACCAAGTGAAGAAATCAAGGATAGAATTACTTATGAGAAACTATGAACTTTTTTCCATGAAGGAGTCTGAGCCCATTCAAGAGATGATGACTAGGTTTACCATAATAACTAATAAACTGAAGTCACTTGGAAAGGTGTTCACCTCAGAAAAGTTGGTTAGCAAAGTTCTAAGGATCCTTCCAGCTTCATGGGAATCGAAAGTCACAGCTATTTAGGAAGCCAAGGAGCTGGACAAGATCTCACTTGATGAATTGGTTGGAAACTTAAAGACTCATGAAATGAGAAAGATAGAACTGCGTAAGGAAGAACCAAAGAGGGATAAGGCCTTAGTCCTTAAGGCGTCTGAGGAAGATGAATCTGACAGTGATGGTCCTAACCTAGTAATATTTGCTAAGTTCAAGAAGTTCATGAAGAACTCCAAAAATACTTTTAAGAGAGAGACCAACGATAAGCCTAAGCAGATTGACAAAGCTAATTATGATGGGTTCTACAAGTGTAGCAAGCTAGACCACATGGTCAAGGATTGACCAACGTGGGAAATTGAGTGGAGGAAATAACGAGCTGAAAAGAAAAAAATGGGAAAAGATGAGAGAAAGGGCCCCAACAAAGTAAAAATCCTAGGTAAAAGATTCACTGAAGCAATGACGCAGGCCTTTCTAGCATCGTATGAGGACAATGGAAGTGATAAATAGGAAGAGAAGAAGGATGAGGCCATAAGTCTTTATGTTGTAATTGATGGACATCAGACAGTGGAGATAGAACCTCCAATATAGCTTGAAATGCACATTGGAAGACCTCCTCTATTTGACGGACATCACTATGATGAATGAAAGATGCGTATGGAAACATTTCTTTAGGCTATTGACTTTGATCTATAGGTAATTGTCAGTCATGGACCAATCATCACTGCCAAAATGAATGGTGAAGGTGACAAATGTAACAAGGTAGAAGAGGAATATGATGATGAAGACCGTAAGCTAATCCAGAACAATGGTAAAGCAAAGGACCTGCTCTACAGAAGTTTGCCCTGAAATATTCTCTACAAGGTGTCCTCTTGCATCTCTGCCCATGATACATGGAGGACCTTGGAAGCTGATTTTGAAAATGAAAATATTCAAGTGGCACTGATGGCGATTGAATAAAGCCAAATAGAAGAAGAAGTTATAGGAATGATGGCCAAAAGTGATTCAGAGACTGAAGATGAAACAAATCAGGTAAGTATCTCTAACTTGAAAGAAAACATGCTGTTCCCAAATTTGATCAAAAGTATGTAGGAATTTATGCTAACAAAATATGCACTAATTGTGGAAAGGTAGGACACTTTAGAGATACTTATCCTTCCTTAATTCATGCTCAGTTTAAGAACACCTTTGGTCTTGCTAAAAAATGTGAAGAAGGAAGAGGAACCAAAAGCCAAGCCTATTGTCCAAAGTAAGTGGATTAAGTTTAACAAGAAAATAGCTATTAATCCTCTTCCCTTTTGGGCAAGAAGAGATCTGATTCATCCTTTTTTAAATAAAAAGAGACCCAAGCTTGTCTGGGTTCTCAAGACTGACTTGTAATTTCTGATGCAGGCTAAAGTAAGAGGGAACAATCAAGACTGGTATCTAGACAATGGATGCTCAAGACATATGACTGGAGAAAAGAAAAACTTCCTCTCACTGTCGGCCTTCCAAGGAGGAAGTGTGTCATTTGAAATCGGTAAAAGGGCCATATAACAAGTATTGGTAAGGTCGGTAAGTCACTCTCTCATGCTATAGAACATGTGTATTATGTCGTAGGCATCAAACATATTCTCCTTAGTATTTCTCAAATGTGTGAAAATGAGGTAAAATTCAATTCCAAAATCTGAACTGTCACTAAGCCTGATACTGATAAAGTTGTGTTAAAAGGTAAGAGACATAACAATGTTTACAAGATATCTATTATGACTCTTCCTCAGAGTGAGCACACATGCTTAAGTGTAATGAAGGATGATCCACTATTATGGCATAGAAGACTGGGTCATGCCAGTATTTCTCAACTTAACAAGTTTGCAGCAAAGGACTTGGTCCTTGGCCTACCAAAGTTGTGTTCTCCTCAAACAAGGTATGTGATGCCTGTGTTAGGGGGAACATGTAAGGTCACCTTTTAAATCTTAAAAGGTTGTCAGTACCTCCAAACCTCTGAAACTCCTTCACATGGACCTATTTGGACCAATGAGAGTGAGGAGAAGAGGAGGCAATAGGTATGTATTTTTCATTGTAGATGATTTTTCCAGGTATATATGGACTTTGTTTTTGGGATCTAAAGATGAAACTTTTGATATTTTCTGTGTGTTTGTCAGAATGATCCAACAGATTGGCTTGTAATGTGTTAAGTATAAGACCAAACCATGGAATTGAGTTTGAAAACTCTAAATTCCTTGAGTTCTTTAACACACATATCATTGATCATAACTTCTCTGTACCTAGAACACCACAACAAAATGATGTTATAGAAAGAAAGAATAGATCTCTGGAAGACATGGGGCCATGCTGATTGCTAGTGGACTGCCTAAGAGCTTCTGGGCTGAGGCAGTCAATACTACTTTCTACTTGCTATGCAGATGCATGGTCAGACCTATTCTTGAGAAAACTCCTTATGAGTTACGTCGAGAGAGAAAACCCAACATCACTCACGTGAGAGCATTTGTGTCATGACCCAATTTTCTTATAGGCCGTGATGGCACCTAACGTCGCCGCTAGGCAAGCCTACGGTGCACTAACCATGTGTTTATTCTTTTAAAATTTTAGAAATAGTTGATTTTTAATTATTAAATAAGTAAGAGGTGAGAAATTTAGTAAAATGAAGTGTAAACAATTATAAGAACAAACGCGGTGAAGTAAATACTCAAAATCATCAAGTGTCTACTAGCGAAATTCCAAGACCCGGTATCACAAGTGTATGAGCTACTAGTAGAATATACAAAAGACTAAGCTACTGTCTGAAATAAAGTAGACATAAAGCAAACACAAAAGAAAGACTTCGGGTGCTGCAGAACATGCTCGGAAGGCAGCTCACCGCTCAGTCTCGGAGTATCAGGGGTGTGCGCCGAGGTAAACTACCAGATGCACCTGCCTCAGAACCTGCACGGTTAGTACAGAAGTGTAGTATGAGTACATAAACAACATATACCCAATAAGTATCTAGTCTAACCTCGAAGAAGTAGTGACGAGGGGTCGACATCGACACTTACTATGGGCTAACAATAAAATGTAGGAATTATAAATAAGCATGGATTATGTAAATAATTAATACAACTCAGTAAC